GTGCAAGGTATCACGCCGCATTTCAAGGCGTTTTCACATCAGCCAAGTTCCGATTCCCGAATTATCGTTTTGCATAGCTCATATTCTTTTGTTATATTCCGTACCACTCGTTTATTTTTAATCCTCGTAGAAAAACCACCCATTTGCTGAATACAATTCTAGCAAGAGCGCACTTCAGCAATGCATTCACCACTGCAAAAATGTCAAAGGAAATCGACACGCCCAACGTGCATGGCGGCTCTTTCAATAATAATTGTAATCTTCCGTCGCATTTCTAAGGCGCACTTATACAACTATTTTAACTCTCCGGAATGCGTAAGGTATTACGCCACATTTGAAGGCGTTTTCAAAACAGCCAAGTTCCGTTACCGGAATAATCGTTTTGCATAGTTAATATTATTTTGTTTCCATTTCTAAGCACTTGTTTAATTATAATCCTCCTATAAAAACCACCCATCTGCTAAATACATTTCTATATAGCTGAAGCGCACTTCAGCTCTGCATTCACCAAACCACTGAAAAACCACTACGAATTCACAAGCAACCCTTAGAACCCCTTAGCCCTCATAGAACTGAAAATAGTATCATATGCCCCCCCCCAAAAAAAAAAAAAAAAAAATTCCGGATGTATTGAATGGAACAATTCGCAAATATTTTGTGCTGAAAGTATATATAAAAAAAAAAAACATAATTATTCCGCAGAAATTGATGGAAAAATTCTTTATGGAAGCTTCAAAATGCGTCCGATTAGTCGTATAAATGCTAAAATTTCTCAGGGGATGCCCCTCGGACCCCCCCCCCCCCATCCGTGCTTGGGGCCCGGACCTTAAAACTGGTACCAGGGCCCGAGATGGGATATGGCGGGCCTGTCTATGAAAGCTTTCTGGGCCATTCGTGCTGCGAGGGCTATCCATCGAGGAGGGACGTGCCCGTAAGTAAGGATGGAATGGACTGCCTTCCGCGACGTAGCTATCTGCCACAAACTACCAAGGTTGCCAGATTAACGCTTCCTCGTTGAATATTTAATGGTGTATTTTTTTCGAAAATACAATAAAATTCACGCAAACGTGTAAGTTTTCAATACCAGGAAATTCGTGCAATCTTATGCACCTCAAAAAAGGTGAAAAATGTATATTCGCGCAATCCTATCGCAGCCCCGCTTCTATCAATTGGATCTCTCCATATCCTTTATGTTTTCTTTGTCTATCGTTTTATCTACCAATTTAACTATCAGCACGCTGAGATTTTTGCTCAGCCGATCGAAGATCGAAGCCGCTCTTTTTCCTAAATCCATGCTTTCATGGATCAAATGAGGACGACTCACTTATATGTATTGTTAGTCTTGAAACAAGTATGTGCGCAAAGATCTTCTCGACCGTTGTGATCATGCAGATAGGTCTGAATTTTCTAGGTGTATCGTCTGATCGATACAAATAGGTATGTCTCCGCAAAAATTTGAAAAATGGTAGAAAATTTGTACAGGTTTCGAAAATTAGGTAAGCTCGAACTTACAATGAAGCTCGTCGAATTCATGAAAAATATTTCTCCATATTTTTTTCTTTAGGTCCGAAATCATTTTGATATCTTGGAACCATATTTTCACAAAGTTCCTCTGTCGAATATAATTGTTTTGTTAAAATTTTCCTTCTTAAGATGTCATATTAAAGACCTATTTTAGACCCTGACTGAATCATAACGTGAAACACACGGGGCATGCCCGAAGGAAGTTTTGAGGAACGATCATGCAGTCAACCTTAGATATAACTCTAAAGTAGATGTCCGTGATGCCTGATGCATACATAAACAACGAAAGTAGATCTTGGCCTCCTATCACGAATAGTGGGCTCAGGAAGTCTTTTCCAGAAATTTTTTGAAATATTATCTCTATTTGGATGCATTTTGAGACTTTAATGACGCAAATTTTCCATGAATTCATACAAAAAAAAGTACGCTGCGTTCTTTATCGTTAGCATACTATGGTTGATTCCTTTTTTCGTAAATTATCAAATTTTAGTGTTCTCTTCACTAAATTTTTAAGGATACTGGTGTAAGATAAAACTAGGATCTCTCTGGAGGGATAATCCAGGCAATGATTACTCAAAAATTTACGTGTCACACACGACTTTATTTACAAAAATTAAAACTAGGTACAGTATCTACATTAAGTTAAATAATTTATTTCCTTACAGTTAACAATTAATTGTGGTCATTTTATCACAAAAACGTTAAACTTGTTAACGAAATTTCAACCAAAGGTACTTTAAGTTTACTTCAAATGGACAACTTTACTCTATAATGATAGTATTGATGTATTTACCTATTTCTATCTATCAAAAAATATACTCTGTAACTTATTTCCAGTATATGGTCATTATATGAGATATTTCGCTGCGTAAATTTCATCACAACCTCAACGGCAGAAATAAAAAACACAATTACGGTTTTTATATTGAGGGGTACCGAAAAGAGTTGACCTTTAAACATATAATTTATTTGGAAATTTAGCCCTTAAAATGATCTGTTCGCCGAGTATTCTCATTCTCATTCTTTAATTTCAGCAAAAATTATGACATATTTTTTTCTCGCCTGTATCGGCAGCATTTTATACGTATTAAAAATATTTTTAGATGAAAAAGCCCTGATGCCTTTTTTTAGTGTGCCTAAATTAATATAGTAAAACGATATAATGTATCAGAATCAAATTCACACAGAAGTCAAATTACTCTTCAAGCCAGTGATTCAAGGCGTTGCTAGTTTTCCCAAATTCTTATATAAACAATGGGAATTATTGCCATTTCATTTTATAGCTCAAAAACTTAGCGAGATGTTACGCTCTTTAGTAAATTGAAAGGAACAAGTGTAAAAATTACAACATTTTCGCCTAATACGCACAACGTTTTGGAAACTTCACATAAATATAAGTTTTCCTTTTTTGACCCTGAAGTGACAAATAAGTTGCACAAATTTTAGATATTTTCTAACCCTTGGCGGTACAAGACGTCGTGACATTAACGCTGTGTAAACGATACAACATTTTCAAATAAAATTTTCAAAGAAAGGGTTTTTAAAAGAGAAGAAGTTTACATAATTCAGTTTCTTTACTAAAGTGGGTTTAAATTTAAAGTAAGGCTGGCTCTTTTAAACCACTGAAAGTAAAATTTGAACATTGAAGCTCAATCTCTCGTCAAAACACGTTCACTATTTTAGAGGGATCAAGCAATCGATTAGACTTAAATTAGTAAATATTTGGACTTATTTCTGCCAAACGGAACTATTTGCATTATGGCATGAGTCCTGTTATGCACATATTCTTAAGGGTCTCAGGGCTCAAGCCTTAAGGTACGTAGTTCTGTTTGGCAGAAATACATTTAAATTAGCTTTCCATTTCCACTAGTGTAAAAAGTAGCCCTAAACAAACTCAGTTGAATGTTTTTGGAAAGAATTACACATTTTACGGTAGTATCAGTCATTCCTTCTTCGAGAATACAATTGGTCCTCAAGAACCCAATGAAAAGTCTAAAAAGTGACATGCACCAAACTGTGGGGGAGGGGGGCCTGTCGCACCCTCCCAAAAAAGCTATTTAATCTCTTCCAGGAAATACAAGTGATTTTTCAAAGTAAAATCATTATCTATTTTCCATCTGTAAAATCGTAGTTTAATCGATTTTTCGGGTAAAACAGTTCAAAATTGCTTGGGAGACGACTCGATTTTCAAAATTTATCCGAAAAGGTTCTTCGGAACCTGATCCTCCTTCATAGCCAGGGATATTCCCCCGAACCCTTCTTTAGAGCAGAGGGAGTCCGAAAAATCCTAGGGCCCCTTGAGTCCTTCGTCTATCACTTTGTCTATCAATGTTAATAATCAGCCCGAAAGGTTTCATGTCCAAAGAAGACAAAGGGAAAATGGAGCGATCTTGTCGGTTGAGACGTGTGGTTCTTATACAGTAAGAGGGAAAATGATGGACTGACCATAACTGCCGTGCTATGGAAAAACGCCGTATGAACATTCGAGAGTTGCCAAATTTCTCCGGATAAAATATGTATTTTTTAGGAAGGTTATGCATATTTTTCCGGGAAATTTTCAGATGTTTTAGATCAAATCGCGAACAAAACTATCAGAAAAAATTGGCAAAAAATATTAACAATTTGTCCCGTAAATTTTGTTTTTATTAAATAAAATCTGGCAACGCCTAAAGGCTCAGAGGGCGGTTTTCCTTAGCATGGCAGATAAGGTCTTTGGTCGCCGTTAATTTGTCTAGTCCATAACTCCTTTGTCCATTGCAACCATCCGCCTCAACAAATCGGCTCACTCCATTTCCTTTCTGTCTTCGCTGTCTGTCGGTTTGTCTATCAATTTCAATAATGATCCGAGTGCAATTCCTCCTCGATCTCGTTTTACTCTTTTTCTTTTTTCTTTTTTTTTTTTTTGAGGGGGCCATACCCTAGCAGTGCTTACTACTCTGCCGTGCTTACTACTCTGCCGTGCTAAGGAAGAACGCCGTATGAACATTTGAGAGTTGCCAAATTTCCCTCGATAAAACATGTAATTTTTACGACATTCATGCATATTTGGACGTATTTCTACCAAACAGACCTATGTGCAGGTGAGAAATATGGGGTGTGCTCTAGAAAGCTGCATAAGAAGCAATGTAAAAGTAGGCGTGATTGAAGAATTGGAAAAGCGGGATTTTACATTCTGTCAAACGGAACTAAGCGCCAAATAAATGCGGGATTCATGAGCCGCGGGCATGGCACGAGAGCTTGTGGACAGGGCTCTTGAGTTAAAGCGGCCCGACGACGATCTCCCCGTCGCGGTCCGGCTCTTTCATTTCCGCTGACGTCACTGGCGCTTTATTATTCTCATTCACTCTTATGGCCAAAGAACTAACGAGCACACCCCATATTTCTCACCTCCTCATAGGTCTGTTTGGTAGAACTACGTCCATTTTTCTCTGAAAGTTTCAGATATTTTAGATGAAATTTCGAATGAAATTGTCTGAAAATTAAAAAAAAAATACATTCACAATTTTCCCTGTAAATTTGGGTTTTATCGAAGGAAATTTGGCAACGTCTGAAGGCCATACGACGCTCCTCCTTGGGACGGCAGACTACTGCCGCCTCTTCAGGCATATTTTATCTTCGGCATGCAAACGCTACGCTTTACTCCTGGCATCGGCACTGAGGCGGCCCACGAGTTTCATGTCCTCCTCGACCTGTTGTTCGGTGACCTCCCTGGCGAGCTTGACCTCGTTGACCTTGTCGACGATGTCCTGGGTCTTGTCGCCGAAGAGGGGGTGCGTGTGGTCGCCCCGCTTGACCACCCGGTTGATGAGCATCTCCGTGGTGACGGCCTTCCGGTCGTGGACCCACCCGCGCCGCGCGCAGAAGTCGATGAGCGTCGTCGTCAGGTTGGGCCACTTCCCGGCCTCGGCCGTGCGGTAGTCCCACGGGAAGGTGTGGTGGAAGTTGTGCCACCCCTCGCCCAGCGCCACCACCGCCACGAAGAACGACTCCGAAGGCAGGATGCTCCTGTCAACATGAATCACGTCATTAGACCGAGCTTATCGGAAAGGAACAAACCCGCACACTGAAAAAAAAACTCCGGCCGTGGGAGCCGCAGTTACGGGCTATATAGACATACCGTCCGTTCCGGGCTCAAAGGCCGAAAATTCCGGCTGCTGGAGCCGTAGCTTCGGCCTCTGAACCCGGAGCAATCGAAGTTACGCCTCCAGCGGCCGGAATTTTCGGCCTTTGAGCCCGAAACGGACGGTATGTCTATATGGCCCGTAATTGCGGCTCCCACGGCCGGAGTTTTTTTTTTTTTTTTCAGTGCATTATCGAAAAAATTGAGATTTTGCTCGCAAATTTTTTATTGTTTCATCTTAAAGTGCTTAAGGTGATTTGACGGACGCCATTTTTTGTGTCAGAGCGACGTGCGATATATCGCATCGATTCGTTTCGTAATTTCAGCTACTTGTCTTTTTTTTCGAATTTTGAGATCGCACATCTGTTGTCATGAGACCTGATTCATGTACCAGATTTGACACAGAAATTCAACGTGATGTAGGCGTGGTTTTTTTTAGAGGAAAAATATCGCATTCGATGCTGATATCGAAACTGCACTTGAATGCGATATTTCTCCTCTAAAAGTACTATGCCTTTAAAAATACATTAAATGTCTTTGTCAAATCTGGTACATCAATTTTTCAGTCTCATGACAACAGAAGAGGGATCTCAGAATTCGACAAAAATGACAAGGAGCTGAAATCATGGAACGAATCGATGCGATAAATCGCATGTCCCTCCGACACAAAAAAATGGCGACAAACAAAAAATTACCTATATTGTCAATTTGAAATGAGGAAAAAAGATATACAAGGTGCGAATGACCCTAAAACGACTTTTCTTAAATAAAACACATTTTTCTAAGTTTTCGAGTCGGGCAGTTAATTCGAAAGAAAACATCGAAGTGCTCCATCAAGTTGCTAAAAAGGACTGACTTAAAAAAGATCCCCATCATTGTAATAGCTGTGCAATTTTAGTCACAAAAACGGCGACCATTCATAGCATGTATTGACGCTTACCCTGAATACGGTCTTGTTCCAATAATATGGGCCCAGCTGTTCACCAGCCAAACCAAGTTATTTGTGATGTGAATTCGACCTAAGCTCGACATCATGAATGACGTCATCAGATCCTCGCCCCACAGGTAGTATGGAATTGCTGTAGGTATTATCACTGCCAGGAGGGTGAACAAGGATTTGTAGTACCTGGAAACAGATATGAAGTGGCGATTATTGACAGAAAATTGAAAGGAAATAAAAGGAGGAACTTGAAAGATGGCTAAAAATACACAATCATACACCGAGACGTTTCCGCTCAGAACCGCGCCATTCTCTGTCTGAGAAATAAGTCAAAAATGAAACAAAAAATCGAAAAAACTTATAACCCACATGACGAGGGCCGAGATTCGAGAACAACACGGAACACCTGTTATTCTTGAATCTCGGGCACCATGATGTAGGTTGCAGGTATTTTTTAATTTTTTTTTTTATTTTTCACTTACATTTTCTCCGACTAAAAATGGTTAAGTTCTGAGCCGAAACGTTTCGGTGTTTTGTTGTGTATTTTTAGCCTTGTTTTCTGTTTTTCCCCCTTGTTTATGCGTGTTAATCGGATGATTTCTTTATAATTTTAAGGAGAATAGAGGATTCGCTGGATCTAATTTTCCGCTCAGACGATACTGGGCCCATTTCCTCACAACATAATCTCTGGAGTCACCATGGTTTTTACAAAACGGCTATTCCTGCTCCGATCGCACAGGCGAGAGCAGGAGATAGTGGCGGGGCATGCATGATCGATTTTCGATATTTCCTCATTTGAAGCTGTGGCAAAGAATCGATTTATAAGGTGTTCGCTGCGAACACCCTGTTTATCGATCCTTTTTCATAGGTTTATGACACATCAATCGATACATCGCAAAGTACGCCTCGCCCCTGGCAGGAGTGTACTCACTTTTTCTGGAACATGACGAGCGGGTCTGCGTTCATGTCGGACATGTCGACGAGTTTCCCTTTGGCGATGACGTCGGGGTGTTTGCGGACCATGAGCCAGCCGACGTGGGAGAAGAAGAACCCGCGGCTGGCGTTGTGCGGGTCGGCGTCCGTGTCGCTGTACTTGTGGTGCTGCCGGTGGTCCCGCACCCACACCCACAGGCAGTTCTGAAAACATCCGAAAAGATAGCTCAATTCCCTCGTCACCGGAAGGATTACTAGGAGGGAGTCGAAACGATCGCAAGGGTACGTACTATCTCTACTTACACGTGCCAAAAATGAGCTGGATTTCAGCAGTTTTTTTTTTTTAATTTTTCATCATCTTAAATTACAATGATCCATTACTCCATTCAAGAAATATCTGGGCAAAAACTTCAAAATCACAATTTTAAAAACGCTGATTACGCGAGTTTAAATTATCGCTATAAACGCTACTCGCACAAAACGCATGTCCGCGCCTGCAAGACTGCATGGATACCTCTCGCATTGCGCGTACACCGCGGTGAGCGCTTTACTCGTCAACGATTCGTAATTCCTCGGTGCCTGACCTACCACACTGTGCGTACATACATCATCTCTGACTGAAAGCACCGAGACTCGGCAATTTTGAGATCGCAGGATTGTGGAGATTTAGCATCACTGCCCTTTGCCGTGTGTGGTGTGCTTTCTGAATCAAGGAGCGTAAAATCTGTGTTGTCACCATCAGGGGCGGACTGGTATTCGAAAAGTCAGGAGGCGACCTACATTTGGGGGCCCCTCCTATTGTTCGGGGGCACCTCCCTCGGAAAATTTTGAACATTTCACACTCTTTAAACGCAATTTTAAGCATTTTTTGGAGTCAAATTCAAGAGTATCTGAACTTCAAAATAACCCACTCTCAGGTTTCTTCGGGGGCCCCTTCATCACGTCTGGGGCCCCAGGAGCCCACTTCATTTCCCTGTATATTGTGTATTAAAAGCTTTAGGCGACCTTTTATGTCTCTTAAGAGACACATTTTCAAGGATTTTGGGGTCTTGTAGTGACTGAAAAGGATTGAAAAATTACAACATTACAGCGAAGAAACAACGACTCGAAAAGCAAATCGCAGCGGAGGCCCCTTCGGGGTCCTCAGGGCGTATTGTTAGGAGGCGATCGCCTCCCTACCCCCATGTCCAGTCCGCCCCTGGTCGCCATCATAAAATGATGATAGAGGAAGTTCAATTGTGTAATAAGTGGATGAGGGGGAATTAGAAAGTAAGAACTTAATTTGCAGAAAAATTCACGCATCCCTATGTTTTCAATGATAATTGTTAGAGATTTTCTTTTGATCTTTAAAGATCAATGATCTCTTTAGAGTTTGTCTAAATGAGTTAAATATCGCTCGAGATTAAGGCATTCTCAAAGTGAATCGTTATTTTTGAAAATTTGCAATCAGATAAAATTTTAAGCATCCCTGCAACCTCGTTAAGTCGATAGTGAAACAGCAGAAATGCATATCTCGGTTTCTGGCGTCGCAGACTTCCTGTCCTAATTTATTTTCTACTTGAAAAAATACTCGACGTAACTTGTTGAAAATTCCAGTGATTTTACTTCTCTTTATGAAGAATATTCTAGAATTACTTCAAGCCATGATGTTGATCCAGTTTCTTTTTAAAAACTAAAATTAAAGCGGAGATTTCGAAACTCCGCAACCGAGATACGCATTTTTCAGGGTTGCCACACTCAGGGAAAACCGGAAAACGTCGGGGAATTTTAAAAAGTCAGGAAAAATAGGAAATGTCAGGGAAAATTTGTTTAATCGCCTTTATTTTCTTTCTAGAATGGGTTTGAGATTTTGAACAAGAAATTTCGCCTGGAACCTATTTACAATCATGCCTTCTTAGCCATCCGTCACATCTTCAATATTGTCAGGGAATTTCACCAAAATGTGTCAGAGAAATCAGGGAAATGTCAAGGAAATTAATTTTCTAAATTCTGTGGCAACCCTGATTTTTGCAGTTTCATCGTCAAAGTGTGATTTACGCCGGCAAAACAAGCTTATGCCTGAAAGTTCTTCCTATGATTGAATCAAGGTAAAATTCACCTCTTTGCCAAATGTTAAAAATTTCTTTTGAAAATCAAATTTCTCCGAAGAGATCTCTAGTGCTAAAAATCGTTGAAATTTCTTTTATGTCATGCACATTTTTACAGAGAATTCTTTCTTACATGAGCAATGGATTATTTTGTCCAAAATCAGGAAATGAATCAGAATTTCAGCCCTCGTGTAAATATTTGACTGTTTGCCTAGGCATTTGACAAAATTCCTGATTTTACTTTTTGCTTGCGACGTGTACAAAGAATTTCTCGAGGAAACTGTATAGGAGAATATAGTAGAACATACTTGCGCGGTAAGAACTTGGCTGAATACTAGGAACGCCCTGAGCCCGGGAACAGCTTTGTAGCTTCGATGAGTAAACAGTCTGTGGGAACCCATGGTTGTCACCAGTCCAGCAAATACCATCAATAGGATCACTGTAAATTAAATAGGGTCCTATCAATAGGCTTGCTATCTCATCCAAAGCTTTCACGTCCAAATGGACTGTATTTCTCATAGTAGAACAAAGTCACATTTCAAGAGAAATGAGTAAGGAGTAGTTCTCAACTTCACAAGCTCCATATTTTTTCTTATCGAAAATTCAAAGTCAAGACCAATTTTTAATATAAAAATAGGTTTTGAGCTTTATTTGGACCGCGTTAAGTACCTGGGAGGGAACCAAGTCACATCAGCTATTGCCAAATTCCATTGGGCAATCCAATTTTTTACATAAGAACGGTTGTGCGGATTTTTATACAAATTTTAGTAAATTTTCTGCACAGCACAAAGCTGATTCCCTAAAATTTTCGAAGGAATCTGCACTTTGTCTCTTGTAAAAAATGAAATTGCCCAATTATAAATAGCTGATGTGACTTGGCTCCTTTCTGATAAACTCGGTCCATTCCCGACTTTTAAAAGGAATGATCTTTGAACCTCTTTTACTCCGCTCGAGCTTAATGTAACTTGATGATCTGCGGGCTGATTCTTGAAATTGGTAGACAAAGCTATAGACAAGAAAAAAAGGATATGGAGGGATCCTATTGGTGGAAGCCGGTGGTTGCGCTGAACAGAGGAGGTAGGTAATAGACTTACTAACGACAACCCGCGGAAGACCCGATAATTAGTCCATAATTTTCCCCCTTAGTCTACAAGAACTGCCCATTTCGACCTAGGGGATCGCTCTATACTTCCTAGTTCCTCTGTCATTTTTGTCTATAGCTTTGTCTATCAATTTTAACAACTAGCCCGCCAATTGAACTGGCTGTAAATGTCATGAATATGATTTGAAATTCAACCTATCATAGCATCAGGTACCTGGTTACATAGCAGGTTGTCGAACATGTCTCATAATCTCTTCTAATCCTTTCTCAAAAATTAAGCTCAATGAAATTTGATTATCTAAATTATAATTCGATGAATTCAGTTAGAATGAATTCCCTCAAAATATATTTAATGACATAAGAAATAAAATGATTCGCTTTGACCAAGAATTTCCAGATTATTGTTTTGAGAATTTGTTGAATTCAAGAGGTTTCATTATCTGGATAAGGATAATATGTAGATCCAAGAAGAGCCATGTAACTTTAGGAGATAAGAGGGCTGGTTTTTTGTTAAATATAATCAGAAACCATAGAAATTTTGACATTTTCCAAAAAATAATTAAATAAGTCTAGTCAGTATCAAACAGAGACAAAATTGAGTTCATTCATTGTCGTGTATACAGGTAAAACTTGCAGTAAATTCGGCAGGAAACAAAGTTTTCATTTTTTATTTTTTTAAAACGGGTCTTTTGAAATTTTCAAATTTGGGTTTTCTTTTTTTCTCCGTATGTTCATCCATAGATTGCCTCCCGATGAAATTGAAAACTCCTAAAGATCTTCCCATCTCTCTTTTTATCTTTCTTGACTGTCATTCCGCATCAGGTATCATATTCATCTTACTATAACTTGAACGTTTCAGGTTCATTTTCATGTTTTCATTACATTTTTCTTAAAATAAATCCGAGAAGAAAGGAACTAAAACAGCTACCATTTCGAAGTGATAGATTTATTCATCAAGCGCACTAAAGAAGCAAAGGCATCTTTTCTCACTTAAAATTTTGCAAGAAACACAATGGTGCCCTTAGTTCTCTCTGAAATCATCTTCAAAGCTCAAAAAAGAACTCTCAAAGTTGATGCGGTGACGAAGGAGATATCCAAGGCTACCGTCAGAGTCCACCTTTATGTATATCAAGACAAACTCTCTATGCAAAAATAGGGTGCAAATATATGAGCAGGGTTGCCGTGTTTTCTTTTTCGGTGTAAAAACGAAGTGGCAACCATGTTAATGTATTTGCTCCCTATCTTTGCAAAGAGAGTTTGTTTTGATATAGAGACGGACTCTCAGGATAGCGCTGGATTGGGATATCTCCTCCATTACGGCTTCAACTTTGAGAGTTCTTTTTTGAGCTTTGGAGATGACCTCAGACAGGACTAGTGGCACCATCGTGTTTCTCGGGAAATTTTACGTAAGATAAATTACATAAATCGAAAATTCCTGACACATGCAAGAGCTCGTTTAAACTGTTTTGCGGACTTCTCAATGAGCAATATTCCTTTCCCACCCTGAGTTGTTCAAAGTGTAAACGATGCGCAACAGCGGAACCTTAGTGACGAAAGTTAAGTTTCCATATTTTCATACCGCAGAGACTGTCATGGTAACATTAAGTGTGCATTTTAACTCAAGTGTAGGTTATAGTTTTCTCTATAAGCGGGAAATTTGAATTGGACAAATCAAAGGGAACTCTATTTACTGCGACATGAGCCCTGACTATATAGCGTGTATTCTGTCAGACCTCAGGGCTCTTATTGGAATAGTTATAGTTCCTTTTGATCTTGATGCGCAGAATGAATGCATCGGAAAACCAAAATAATGACGGTTAGGAGATACTTTCGATAATTTTCGTTGTACTATTCGTGTTCTGCGTGAAATTTTAATGAATTTTAATTTGAAATGTAATTTCAATTTTTTGACAGTGCTGGAATTCGCACGTTGCCTAGGGACCGCGTTTAGCAGAAAGGTACCAAGCCACATCAGCAATTGCCAAATTTGACCGGGCAATTTGATTTTTTCACAAAAAAACGTTTGTGCGGATTCCTTAGAATATTTTAAAGAATTTGCTTCGTATTATAGAGAAAATTCACTGAAAGCACAAAAATCTGCACAACCGTTCTCAAGTAAAATATTAAACTGCCCAATTAAATTTGGAATAGGTGACGTGGCTCGGCTCCTTCCTGCTTAACGCGGTCCAAATTTTAATCAAGGAAAATTTTGTCTTAATTTTTTCACCACATTCGCTTATAGTCCAAGAGCCCGACGACATTCAGGGACAAACTCGTGACACAAGTTTTGGGGACTTAGATCAATATCTTCAATTGAACGTATTTCTGCCAAACGGAACTATGTGCATTGAGACATGAGCCCTGAGACCCATAAGAATATATGCATAACAGGGCTCACGTCCTAATGCACATAGTTCCGTTTGGCAGAAATACGTTCAATTGAAGATATTGATCTAAGTCCCCAAAACTTGTGTTTGGGAACGCAGAAATACGTCCAATTCAATAACTACCCAACTATCTTTGTCAGTGCGGTTTGAAATTGTCAAAACGTGTGTCACGACTTAGCCACTAAATGAATCAGTGAGAACGAAAATACACCAACTAGGTAACTCAAAAATGCTCGATTTCCATGAAAGACCGTCAATTTTATGAACGTCATTGAAGTTAGCACTTCTGTTCCAATTTGAACCTTTGAATTGTCCATAAGCCGGCCAGGTTGGCCTGGTGGTCAGCGCGTCTGACTTCAGGTCAATACGTCCCGGGTTCGAATCCCGGTGTAGGCGTCTAATTTTCACGGAATTGACGAGTAAATCTGCTGAAACAGATTCTATTCGGCCCTAATCCCTGAAAATTTGAAAAGCCTGGAGCATAGATGTGTCTAAATCCCTCGATGTCTACGGACAATAAACATAGTCTGAAGTTAGCTGAAGGTGCCAGACACGAAGCCATAAAACCAGCAGGAAAAAAACAAAAAAAAGTCCATAAGTACCTGTCCTTCGGCACCATTAATTTCTTCTTATACTAAATTATTTTCTTACTGTGCAGTTTTGTGTGTGTCTTCATCAGTGGCGTGGCGTGAATGATCGATTATCGATAGTTCCCCATTTGAAGCTGTGGTAAAGAATCGATTATTAGGGCGTTCGTTGCGAACACCCTATTTATCGATCCTTTCCTACAGGTTTAAATGGTGGCTCAATCGATGTATTGCAAAGCACGCCACGCCACTGGTCTTCATTATTTTCATTTTTTCGAGTTGGTGTGTTATCGTTCTCATTGATTCAAATGGACCGAGTTTAACAGAAAGGAAGCAAGCCACATCAGCTATTGCCAAGTTTAACTGGGCAATTAAATGTTTCACGAGAGAACGGTTGTTCGGATTTCTTTGAAAATTTTAAGGAATTCGCTTCGCACCATGGAGAATTTTCAGTGAAATTTGCACGAAAATCCGCACAACCGTTTTTTTGTAAAAAATTAAATTGCCCAATTAAATTTGGCAATAGCTGATGTGGCTTGGTTCCTTTCTGTTTAACGCGGTCCAAATGTCCTCTGGCTTAGAGTACCTATATTGAGAGAGTATGGCCACTGGGGTTACCACCTCTGATTGGCTCAGCCATCTTAGGCTAAATGGAGCCCTTAGGACCCAAAAATGGCGGACGCCATAAATTAATGTAATGCAAAATGACTCAAAATGTAGTTTTCTTTGCTTCTCGTAACGAGAAATTTACTCAAATGCACTATTCCGACATCTTTACATTTTTTTAAGGCTAATCGTGTGCAAGTTTTGAGAAAAATGATCTCAGATGTAGTAAGGTTGGCAGCAAGTGCGGTTGGTGATAACCGTCAAAAGTTGGCAATGACCCCCCTCCCATCCACAAAAACCAAAACAAAGCACCGCCATTTTTGGGTCCTAAGCCTCTCCACGGGGCCCAGTGGCCATACTCTCTCAATATAGGTACTCTACTCTGGCTCTAGGATCTATCCTAGATTCTATCCGTCCATCAAAGCGACAAAAAGGACGCGGAACCCGGCCATCAACTGCCTTATCGCGGGGACGTTGGCCATCCTCAAGAGGGACCACCCCGCGGACACGACCATGAGAACGAAAGTCTTGTTGGACCAGACGAAGCGCAGGAAGTCGACGATCCCCTTCTCGACGACGGCGCTGAGGGGGGTCTCGCGCGGGACCGCGGGCGGGAAGGAGTCGCAATGGCACTTACTCCAGGCTTTCGTGGGCCACTTGGAGTCGAAGAAGAAGAGGTAGATCGTGTAGAGACTCGCCACGTAGAGCGCTAGGAAACCCAGGGCGTTCGGGATCCAGACGATCTCGGTGCGGGGGGGTCGGTCCTCCGCTCGGCGGATCGGCATCGAGCGGACCAGGTCGTTGATGTCGTCCTCGAAGTCCATGTAGTCGTCCTTCTCCGGGTTTGTGTTCTTCGGGTCCATGTTCTTCCTCGGAGGCTCGTCCATCGCGGGACTCAACGTTCGGCTCTTGCAAGAGGTCTCCGTCGCTGTTTCCACCATCCTGTCGGACAACAAATCAGACACACTGAAAAAAACAAGCGGGAAAGTTCTAATACTGTCGTATTAGAAAAGCGCTCAGGTGTTAGTCAATGTATTTAATGAAGAAAGGACGTATAAACTCCGTCGACTCGGCTGGGAAATGGAAATAAAACATCAGCTGATAGCAAACAAAGGTTACCGAGGAAACCGTAAACGCGTTTTTTCGTTTCCCGAAAATGATAGCTCACCGTTGAGCTCATCAGGCGCGTTTTTTTTAGGCTTCATTTGAGTTCAACGATCAATTTCGATAAGAATTACTCTACCGTTAAGAAATTTTCTTATAGACAAACGACCGAAACTACCTGCGCATCACGTTAAAAGCATAAAATACAGTTTTCACAGTTTTATTTATTTTAAAAATGGACCCCCCCCCCCAAAAAGCCTACACATCGATGAGCTGATGCGCCATTTAAACGCATTAGCACTAGTATACTAGTACTCAGAGGCAAGTCGAAATCAAAAAGCGCTGCCTATCGGCTGAGCGCTTAAAAATATTGCTGAAATTGCCGTGCACGCGGGTATTTCATGGAATGTTGTAGCCAAAAAACGAACGTGCAAACCATGCAGGTAAAATCGCTACACAAATGTCAGCTAACTTACACACACGCGTGTAGGTGATTTTGCTCTCCGAAAAGCTACGTCTGGTACCTTTATAGTTATTCTTCCGTAAAGTTCGCTGTTTTTCCGTAAATTCCGCTATTTCAGCCTAACTATTGAGCTATTTTTACTGTTCGCAAAGTACCAATACCAAAAAATGCAGTTACACTTCCAAGCCACTCGATGCAAGATTAACTGCATGAAGGCGCGCAGATGTAGCAAATCGGTGTAGCAATTCGTGCTAGTAGTTCACTTGATTCAACATCGTGCACGGATAAGGAAGCTTTACGAAGTGAAGCAAATTTTGCTCTACCCTAAATCGGTGAATTAGCAATCCTTTTTTTTTCAGTGCACTTTGAGTATATGTGATAGTAGGGACCTGCGCACAGCGCGGAACTTTCGTAAGCCGTGTGGACAAAAATCGTAAGCGACGTTAAAATAGACCTACGAAACCATAAACGCAGGCTGCTTGGACCAGCCATAAGGCCAATCTGCCATTGGCAGATACGCCCCCTTTGCGCACCGAAAACGCGCCCCTCTCACAGACAGCAAAATAAGAAGAAAAAATTACCACCGAGAATATGTGAGAAGAATTGATTAAATGAACGGAAGAAGAGAGAGTTGGGAGTAAAGAAGGGTGCTTTAACGCATGATAATGGGGAACAGAGGTCCAAGAACTACTTTCTGAGGCGTAAACAATTTTTTGTGAAATTTTCACCTTCTTGACATACAGGCGCTTTATCATCCCCCTCATTCATTCGCTATGTGTAACTCCCTTAGAAGCGTTGGTCGGTTCGATTTTTAGACATATTTATACCTTTAGACATATTTCCTCCTTTTCAAATGACTATTGATTTGGACATACTATAGCATAGCTCGGGCAAACTTAATCTTAACTTATCTCGAAATTCAAAAACAAGAAACGTCTAAAATGTAAACGCGATACAACTATTTGCACAAGATGGATGTTCACATTGCAGATTAAAAATGTAAGACGCGATGCCGTGAGTCGTGAACTCGCAATGCTCTGCTCTAGTTTGAAGTAACATTACAAATAAGACAAACGCAAACGAACACAATATGGAGATAAAGCGAGGGAAAGGATGCGCGTTAACGACGGCGCAGAGATACAACTATTCGTACTTGATGGACGTCCATGCCGCATCTGAAAAATTGAAGGCGCGATGACGCGAAGCGTGAGCTCTCAATGCTGTGCTTCACGTTCAATTTTGCACTTTTTACTCCGTGCGATCAATAAACTTTGAACCTGAAAATAGCGTAAACTTATGCTGATTTGCAACAATTTTCTGAACCCCTTACCATGTAGAGAATGCCCTACCAGGAAATATCACATTACGCCCCTTTAACCAGCCAAGGGTCTGCGCCCTCAGATGCGAGCCAGTCCGACCCTGCATAAACGGCATGAAGTATTCAATGGAGGCGGCAGGCGGGCAGCCAGCGCGAAACACGCATTGGCGCCTACAAACCTAACAGGGATACTTCACTCGTTGCGCAATGCGTGAAGTATCCCTGTTAGATTTGTAGGCGCCAGTGCGTCGCCGCACAGTAGATCGAGTCAACCAGAGAGGTCGGACATGAATTTTTAACCTAAAACTGCAAATTTTGATGTTTAATTTGTCACACGTTAAATTTTAAGGGGCGCATTCAGATGAAAATTCCACGAGAAAACCAATGGAGCCACTTTTAGAACCTCAAAGTTTTGTATGAACGGAGTTATAAGCGTTTAAAGTTTAAAATTTTGTCCGACCTCTCCTATTGACTCGATCCACTGTGCGCCGCTCCGCTTTGTGTTAGTCTCTAATATTTAATCTGGCGGAGTCAGCGTTATTTAACTCATGATTTTGAAATGTTAGCACATCCTGTATGGATTATTCTCATTTTAATTGATGAAAAAAAATATGTATTAAAGGGAAATATAATGAGTGTTTTGTAAATATTAAGGTGGTTCCGTATCAAAGTTAATGATTTCCAAAGCACACAAATTTCTACACAATTTCTTATAGCCTTTTATGATCGATGGCGAAAAAGCAACAGCCAGGCGATAAAGTGTAAAGCCCGACGATAGGAACTATAGCCCGGCTGCATAATTTTTTATCGCTTCGTATAGCCCGGCCGTATGATTTTCTCCGCATTCTACATCTACAGCCAGCTATATGATTTTCTGTAGCCTTTTTTAGCCGGCTATAAGAACTCCTATGGTGTTTTGAAACGCAGCTCTTATCGCCAATTTTTACCAGGGTTAGGTGATTACAGGAGGGATAAGAATGCCTTTGATGGAGCATCATGAACAGGACAATTTTTTGAACCTTAAATAAAATTCAGCGGTTTAACTTCGGAAATCAATCCTCACCGAAGATCTCAGTGATTCTTTGCTGCGAAAATACACAAAAGGAAAGAAATTTTATTGTAGATATTGCAAATTTTGAGTCAGGCCCTACTTACCCTTAATTTTGTTAAATCATAGGACAACTTAACTATCCTCTTGTTTACCCGATTATACTTCCGCTGGTTTATGCGATGCAAATTACGCTAGCCCTTTTATCGGGTATTCTCGCTCGTCAAATTTTTGTAGACACGACACATGACATTTTTTTCGACTGAATAATGATTAAAATATAACGAATGCTAAAATAGTGCTAAACGCGTGCTTATAGTGCTGCCGAGATAAGGAAGAACGCTGTATGAACATTTGAGAGTCGCCAAATTTCCTCTCGGAAAATATTCATTTTTTAAGAAAGTTATCAATATATTTCCTTGAAATTTTCAGATATTTCCAATCAAATTGCAAACTAAATTTCTTGAGAAATCGAAAGACAAATGTTCAGAAATGATCTTGAAAATTAGTGATTTTTCGAGGGAAATTTGGCAACGCCTGAAGGTTTATACGGCGTTTTGCCTTAGCACGGCTGAATACAGAGTAGATAAGGGACAGAGTAGATAAGGGACATAGTAGATAACGGACAGAGTAGATGAGGGACAGAGTAGATAAGGGTAGATAACATTTCTCTCACGAAGGAGCGTAACTCAATTCCAAGGTTGCGAAGTTGACTCAAACAATATTATTTTTCACACGAACGTACAAGTGTGCACTTATGTGAATTTTTTTTTATTTTCGTATGGGATAAGAGGAAAAATCAGCGTGATTTTAAGTAAAAAAAGACAAAGATTCTCCTGGAAAAAATGCAATTTGCGAGGGGAAATTTGGCAACTTTGAAATGAAGTTACGTTTTTTGTGAGATCAACGACGAAGTGTTGCGTCTACAAAAATTTGATGATGAAGTTGCATCCGAAATGCGCATCGCAAAAAACAGCGGAAGAAAATACACATAACTCGTTTGCGGTGTCTGAAAATCTCCGCCTCTTTGTTATTATTTTAAAGGAGGACAAATTGACATCATTCTTGAAGTTTTTGAAGAATTTTCTTCGCACAGAGAGGAAAAATCACGGCAGTTTTAAAGAATTGCCGCTGAATAGTTTTCCGTTTAAAAATAAAGTATGACAGGAAGTCTGCGACGTCGCAAACCGAGATATGTGATTGCCGACTTACACCGTCGATATACACCTTAGTATGGTACGAGATATCTTCGTATGGTTCACAGACCGAGAATCATTAGTTTATTCTCGACTATTAGTGGTGTTCCATATGAACCACCAGGCACTAATTGCCCTGCTAAAAATGATGAGTAGGCTATTCAGGATTCGCCGACTCACATGAGTAGAATTTCCTACTTACACGAGTAGAAATCCTACTCATATCACCAAAATATTCTACTGATAAGAGAAGAAAAGTTCAACTCGTATGAATTCAATTTTTTTCATTTTTCTGAAGTGGTGTTTTTGACCAGGAGACATCGACATGATAAGTAAATTTGAAAAATAAGAACATTTTGTTCTTATAATTTTTTTAATGCGATGACTAGTTTCTGAGATATCGGATACGGTAGATTCAACGCTGAACTCATGCGATTTGAAATCTCTAGCCATATGAGTTGGAATCTCTAGTCATATGAGTCGGCGAAAAGTGAATAAAGAAATTCTGCTCATATAAGTTGAATTCTATTCGCATAAGTTGAAATTCTATTGATATGAGTTGAAATTCTAATCATATGAATTGCATTCTATTCATATGACTATGATTTTCTACTCATTTGTACTCACCATTTTTAGCAGGGTGGTTTATAAAGCCATAGATTTTTCTTCGTGCTGCCCGCTTCGCAGTTCAACCCCCGAAGGCGCTTCGCGCCCCAGACTTGTGCGTTACGTGTCAGTGGCGAGGCGTGAATGATCGATGATCGATTTTTCCCCATTTGAAGCTATAGTAAAGAATCGATTATTAAGGTGTTC